AAATAAGTGTGCTGAAGTAATGGTAATCATTATCACAGATTACATCTGAGATCTCAAAACAGTAAATATATATATATAGGTAATTTTTCTAAAAAAATAAGGAAAAAAAATCACACATTTGAAAAAAGTCTCCACAGGGTTGAAGGAAATGAATACTTGGGCATAGGCTTTGTTCTCCTGTCAGACATTTCCCAGAATGTCAGACGTTTCCCAGGAACAAAGGCTTCATAACCTACAGCATTTTCGTTTCTGTTCTTATAAACCAAAATAATAATCAAAAGAAACATTGTATCAGAGAAGCACTTAAATTGGTCATAACCCAGGATGTAGGATATACTCCTCCTGCTGCAATTGTTGATGCAATAAATAAATTAAATCAAAAAATTAGTAAGTGATGCTATCACTGAATTCCCTGTAACACTAAGTAGAGAAAACTCCACTGATAAATCTTCATCTATTTTGTTCACAATGAGATTGATGATTTCAGCTCTACAGGATCATATTCTTGTTTAGTAACTTCATTAGTCTCTTAATTACACCTTGCTGTAACTGATAAAGACCTTTTCACTGTAGAGTTTGAGATGTCCAGAGTCACAGAACAGTTGGGCTGGAAGAGACCTCTGGAAATCAGATAGTCATATTCCCTGTTCAAAGCAAGGCTTATGTCAAAGTAGTATTGAGCTGCTCAGGACCTTGTCCAGTTGAGTTCTGTCTACATCCTTCAGAGCTTCAGTTCAGCCAAGACCAATCCTCTGAAAGCCAGGAAATACAAAGAGAAGGCATAGCCACTGCTGTTGTAAAATTGCTTTACTGAAGCTGCCAAAAGCCACCAAGAGTTTTCCAGGCTCCAGGCAGAATGTCTGCGCTACCCTTTGGAGGGTGGGAGGTTTCATTACAGCAAGATACCAGAGCTGTGAAACCAGCGTGGGCTGACAACACGCCAGTGGAAAGGTTGTGTGCGTGTGATATGACAAAGAGGTACAAAAGTGTTGGCAAAAGATGGTGACAAATAATTCATTCTAGCTCAGAATCCTTTTGCTATAGGGAATTGTCTGCAAGTAAATGGTATATAAGGTTGGGTTGAGTGTTTGATGATGGGATTAATGAAAGCAGAGCATTTAACAGCACTAAGGAGTTGCAAAATTTGTCCATGTGGTGTTGCCATAGAGCAGCCTCAGAATTTGAACGGTCAGTGGGGTGTTTTTTGAGAAATTGCCCAAACACAAGTAGTGCCAAACCAAAGAGGGCTTGAGGATCTCCTACAAGCTTTTTTTTCCCTTGGGCAACCTGCTCTCTCTGCAGATACCTGATCTTCCTGCGCAGTGTCCTAGCAGAAGGCACCTACTTGCAACCTGACTGTAGCAAGGACAGGCTTACAGTTAGGTGCAAGTCTATCTGCTGGACTTCATGGATTCATTGATTTATCTTGAGGTCCCCTTGGATTCTGGTTCACATGAGGGAATGAAAGGAGATGTTCAGCTCTATGGAAAAGGCAGCTTATTCCCTTCTCTCCTTCCACCCGCTCCCCATTTCATACACACAGGAAGAGAAAGAGGTCATAGACAACGACTTCTGCAGGCACAGGGCTCACTGAAAGCCATCTTACTTGTACATGGGAGCAGAACTAGAGGGACAGAAATGCTCTCATTGTCCCAAAATATGCCTGCTGCCTTTCTTCCAACTGTTGTTACTTTCCAGGATACCATTCTGAACCCCCACTCTCCCTTCCAGGTTCTACTTGAGTTCTTGAGGTTCTTTCCCACAACTCAACCAACTTCCTCTTTTCTACTCGCTCTTCAGAGGAATCATTAAAGCACCTCATTTGTTTGTTTGTTTTTACTCTAAATATTGCCTGAAAGGCTACACCATATTCAAATGAGATTTTATAGATAAATGTATTTTAAATAAGTATTTTCAATTACTAACAGCCAACCCCTTCAAATCTGAATCCGCAGGAAGACATACTGCAACTGCCTGCCTATCGTTACTTCTCTGATTATCAGCAAAGGCAGATTCCGAATTCAAAATAGCTAGGTGTAAGTCAGATTCTCAGTCACTAGCGTCTCTGGAAACAGGTAGGGGAAACCATTTTGGCAAAGTATTTCTGCATACAAAAATTTCATTTGCTTGGTGAACAAAACCCTACACTTCACAATGCGTTAAATTCAGCCTCTCCAAGTGAGAAGTAGAGTCTAGTTGTAGAGCGTAGAAAATGCTGAGAAACTGAGATTAGCTGAGGAATTACTGAAAACAGCAACAACAAAAAACCCATGACGGAATCTGCGTACAAGAAATGCTACAGGATCTGCCCACACTCTCATCCCTGGAAGTTGTATCTCAGAAATATCTTGTTCAAGTGATCCCAAGTTTTCATCAGTTCATCACCTTCTATAGCATCCTATGGATTTCACAGTAACCCAACGCAGCACAAAGATTTCAGAGCCCCTTACGCTGCAGCCGAACGGGCCTGCAGTGTACACCCCAGGGTTTTGGTCCCTCTATCATCTGGGGACCTGGCCAGGCACTCCGCAGTGCCCATCTGCTGCACACAGATGGGCTTCCTTGCAAAGGAAACAAAAGCGGGAGGGAGGGGGCTGCCACGCATCCTAGTTATGCCCTGACATGCCCTAGACAGACTGTGACCAGGGCATATACCTCTCCTCGGGTGCTCAGATGTATTCCCAGGTCCCGTACTCTCAAAACAGTCTTAGAAAACCTGGGTTTTAAACTCATAGGCCTTCTTAACTCTCTGCCAGAATTGGTGCTCTGCTTTGCTCTAATACGCATTGAGCCTTCAGCAGAGGAGTGGAAATACAGGAGCATGCTTAATTACTTGTTTTTAAATGTGCGACAGATATGCAACTATTTGAATGTCTAGACTATAATTTACATAAATACATTTTAAACCACAACATTTTAAAATTATTTATTTCCTGCTTCTGTGCTTAAGTGCTTTGCTGGATTGGGGCCAGACTGCGGGATCAAGCTGAAGGTGCATAAATCAAACCTTCAAAGAAATATAATGTTCACAAAGACTGTATTTGGTTGAGCAAATTTAGAAGAATGAAACCAACTATGAAGAGAAATTAGATTGGCTGAAAATTAATAAAGCACAGCTGGAATTATTCGATTCATCCATATTTGTTGCTTAAATGGCTCTAGGGCTAAGTCTTGCTGAAAGAAGATACTTCAAGACTCAGGGGTCAATTGCTTTTGGAGACAAATTGACCTACAGGAATACACTTGTCTAATTTGGTTCTTGCAGCAGGGCAAGTCGACAGAAATATATAACCAAAAAACCAATTTAGATTCCAGTGAGCGGATATCAGAGGTCAAGTTTAAGGTTCCCATAAATTTACATACATACACTAAAAGATTAATAACTTTTCAAGCTACTAGGTTTCTTTGCTAAAAGCAAAGACTTATAGATAACATCTGAGAAAGAAACAACATATGTACTTATTCCACATGCTGTTGAATAGCAACCAAGCAGCCAGCTCATTGCTTGTCGCTGTGGCTAGCCCTGCAGTATTTCATACTGTTTGGTCATACTCAGGGACTGCAAGTAGCACTATTGCTGGCTTAGCTCCTAGAAGAAAGCATGTTCAGATCTCACAATCATTAATTTTGAAACTGATTTTATGTGCCAGTTCAAATATTACGGTTTTAATTAACTGGTCCTACTACTATTAGTGTATGGAGACCTGTATCCAGCCATATAGTTATTATATAGTTTGCAATGAGACCTCCTGAACATGTTTATCTGTTCTAAATCTAATGCTTTTCTCCTAGACAGATTTTTATATGTTCACACATCAGTATTGTTTCCTACTCATAATTAGAAATTTCCTTTATAAAATAGCAGCAAAATGGACCAGTCTTAAAATACAAAAATACACTTTAGAATACAAAATTATTTTAGATGCACGCAAGCCCTGAAACTGGCATTAGCCATCCAAGAAATCTACAAAACTTAAGTCCTGAATTTACTTCGGGCACATCATGAAAGTTTCACTCTCAGCCAATACTATCCTTGAAAGATGCAATATTTTTAATCTTCAAGTCATGTTTTTTTAAATTCAGTCACAGCAAAAATAACATTTCCATTTGAGTAATTTACCATGGATGAATATGAAAAAATAAATTCATATATTTCACTGTAAATTATCAGAAATCTGACCACTGTACCACTGATAAACATACAACATTATCTGTTTATTTTGTGTACGTTCAAAATACTTTTAAAACCTGAAAAACTTCTTACTTTGTTTCCTCTCACTACTTCAAAGATCAATAGACATTTACAAATGAATGATTTCTCAACAAATATAGAAATCCCGGCCGGCACTGCCTTCAGAAAATTTGCATGGCAGTTAAAGGCACACCCTTTTGTTTGGAGTTATTTTCAAACACATTATTGGTCAGAAGGAATAACGTGTATTAATCTTTTTAGATCTCTTTTCTTAGAACACATAGATTTGGGATGATCTCTACATTTTTCTTTTCAAGTCGTGAACTTATATTTTGTAAAAGCATGTATAAAAACACATCACGTGGGAAATGCACTGTCCTGCGCCTTTCAATCCGCAAAGGCCCAAAAGTGGAAAACCCACAAAATCCAAACATGAGGAGGAGAACGGTTTTACTGCGGGACCCCACTTTTTTGTAAACAGTAATATGTTCTTTATTTCTTAAGTGAGTAAGAAACTGTATCTCCTCACAGCCATTAAGTAAAGAGATCCTAGAAATTGGGCTACATTTCTGGCTAAAATAAGCAACTTTTTAAATGAAAGGTGTTCAAAATTCTAGATGAGTAAGCCTGAGACAAGCTCACTCCACTGAAGTTCTGGATGTATCCAAAGTAGAAAGACTACGTTATTCACACAACGTAGCATAATTTTTATGATGCAGCAAGTTTAGACCCCACAAATCAGTATTATTTGTATACTCAAAGGCTCCTGGTTATCTCAGCTGTAGAAAGGAAGCGTTGGTGAGTTTACCTGTATAGTCCTCTGAGTGCCATCAATGGTGACAGACAATAAGGGTGAAGCCAGGTTCCACTCGCTGGTCACGTTTAGTTTCATCCCATCAACTTCCACCTGTTGTGACACCAAACAAGGCTGTTACTATGAAGACAGACAGAAAACTGATCTCAAGTTCATTACTGCATACAAAGCAGCAACCATTTTAAAACAGATGGCTCCCAAACAACCTGTCATGTTTACTGCTTCTGCCATAAAAGACAGGGTCCAACAACAGAGTCTTCCAGCTATCTCTGGGGAGAGGTGAAGGACCTGTGAACAGCTGCCTCTGAGTAGCAAGGTTTCAAGTGATTTCCAGCAAGTAACAAACAGCCATCCAACTTTTAAACCTATCTGGACATGCTACATTTACTGCAATTAGACAAGTAATGCATATAAATTCCAGTGACACCTTGCAACCCACACAACAGGGCTTGCATATAATATTCTCTCCAAGGACCAAGGAAGAACTTTTCCTATGCTTCTAATGAAGGGTTTTGCATTGTTATCTTAATTAATATGAGTCAGTAATTAATTCTTCGGTGCTTTGCATCCAAGTCCTGAAAAACTTTGTAAATTCTGTCATGTTTTCTTCCAATATACAGCTGATCAGAGGAATACAATTTCTGACTTGAATGCCAATATGGTTATCCAGATTTTTAAAAAATTTAATAATCATCCTATGATTTTTATACAAGAATATTTCTATGCGAAGAGCAAAAATCCTGAGTTCTGAAAAAACTGTAGATACACACAGAGTAGCTATAATGACACTTTGTTATTCTTCCACTGTATAATACTGTCTAAAAACACATATCACATTCAACACTGCTAGAGCCTCAGAAGAAGAGCTGAAAAAATATTGCTATACAAGGAACAATATAATTACTGATTAATTTTGTGGCATGTTTTGAACACTCATCATGCTAGTCAAGGTACATAAATATGATTTCAGTTATATATTTTACTATAAAGAGAAGAAAAATCACGGTTGGCTGATTTCGTTCCTCTCTCAAAATCTTCGAAATATTTTCAATCAGTAAGTTACAGACAATATTGATAATGACACAAATACCACATATATTCTCAGTAACGTAGAAGAAAATTACTACATTTAGAATAAAAGCTGAGCCCATATTTTGCAAAATAAAACTTATAAAGCTTGCTCTTTTAGATCTCAGACTAATCATTATTTCATCTCATAATAAGAGCAGGCAACCGTAATCTTAGTGTAACTTAAAAGAAATCCATAACAGACAAGTGCAGAGGAGCAATATGAAATTTGGTAATTTTATTTCAGTTAAGAAGAAAAACTCTGGCTTAAAAAACTTCTAATTTTATAGACCTTAGTTTAGAACACAAAACCTGTCTTTTAGTGATATGATCTACCCAATTTCTATGGGCTTTAACTATAAATAAAGTTACACGTAAAGAACATGAAGAAAAACAAGTCATTTATAATGATTCACCAATAGGCCAGATTAGCTGGCATGCTTCAGGTACTTTACACTGCTCCAGTGATGCAAACCAGCCATAAACCTGGCTTGAGTTAAACCAGACCTGCAGCTGGTTTGCATTGCCAGAGCGCTGCAAAGCAGCTGGAACACGCCAGTGAACTTAGCCCGGTCTCAGCAAACCTGAATCAGCAAATACTGTCTTTATTGAGAACAGCAGAAACATCTGAAAAAGACTTTTCAAATGGAGAAAAGCAAATATGTCTCATCTCTCTTTGATCAGCAATTGAACTTTGGTAAAGCAGTTATTTAAAAAGCTGTCTGTCACTATCGCTGTAACCAAAGAAATACTGTCTATGCTGGAGCCTAGGTCTGAAAACATCATTTACCATATTTCTCCAGGGAAGGAAGAGAGATGGTATGAAAGCATACCAGGCTACTGGCCACCAAAAAAAGTTCAACTGTACACTGTGCTTGTTGCACTGCAGGATTTACACACAGCCTTGTGGAAAATCTGTAGCCAATATCTATAATCCTAGTGAAGGGTGCCCCAGTGGCACGATGCAAGTTGATACCTCTGCAACAAACTCAATTTCATCATTAGCTCTTTTGTCACTGTACAGATGAACAAAAGAAAAGTAAACTAAGTGTGTCACAGCAGGAAATGACCTGTTTAAAATCCCCCACGAGGGTCTATAGAAGTCCAGCCATCACTGATTCCAGATTACATTAGTATCAAAAAATTTCTGGTGGAAACCACCCTGAAAGGAGAGACACAAGCAGTCAGATGGTAGGTCTAAACAAATCACAGCACTCTAGGAACACTATGGCTGTTTATGCGCAATAGAAAAACCAGCAGACAATATATTACCTCTTCTATGTCCTCCCTGTTCAAGAAAGAATAAAGGGATGGGGGGCGGGGGGGGAGAAGTGTTATTTGAACTAATGCATACCCCACTAAACTGCAGCAGTCTTCTCACAGAACAGAGCTACAGGCTCCTAGCTGCTTTCACCTGGGAGCTCACCACAGCATATGCAATTGGGGAAGATGATGTGAAGCCAAGAGGATCACAAGGAAGTTGGCTGTCTCTGCTCCAGTGGGTAGGCTGATAAAACCAGGAGGGTCAAGCCATCAAAGAAAATGAACAAGGACCGAGGGTGAGAGATGTACCATGTAGTGAGCATATTACTATCACTACAAATGAGGGGAAAGCAGAGGGAGGGGGAAAAAAGATGAAAAAAAAAACCCAAAAAACCTACCCCACAGATGTGGGTCAAAATCAAACCAGTGCTTTACATAATAGAGCAAATCTTCCTTCTGCAGCTCAGCAGCCAACAGCCAAGCAAGGTTAGTTGGTGGAGGTAGGGGAATAGGTAAGATGTTTGAAGACCTTGTCAGAAGTTTGCATTTGTTTTCATTCCTCCTCTAGCAATGGATACGACAATAGAACCTAACAAATACTGTAATAAAACCAGGACCTTTTTGCTTTAGCCTTGGGGAGAGTGGGGATGGGGGTGAAGGGGGACACAGGGAAGACTAATGAAGAGTTACATTGACTATTTCCTGGTTTATTTTGTTTCTGTGCTCATAAGACAGCCAGGAATGAATCACCACTCAATGAATACTAACACTTGAACTGTAGGGAGGAGATCCAGTCAAATCACTCATGCAGTGGACCACATTGTGCTTTACACCACTGTTACATAGTCTAGCTTTATTCTCAACTACTCAATTCCAAGTGTGGGCACGCGTGTGTATGCATGCATATGCGCATCGTGCTGTGTGCACAGTGGAATTACTCTATATGTTTGTAACTATGGTTGGTTGAACCATTATAGTAACTATGGTTGTTTGAACCATTGCTACACTATATCAATGTGGCATGGTGGCAGTGGAAATTTTTTTTTTTTTTAAAATAGGTTTGTTTGTCCCTGTGTAAGGGCATAAAAGGTAAAAGCAGCCATGGTCCTCCTTTAGAATTATTTCCAATTCAAAAGCTATTGTAAATGAGGTCTCAGAAAGAAGAATGACAAGTCCAAGACACGATGCTAGAAAAAGGTCAACAGCTTACTCTACTGTCATAACTTTGCAGACTTTTGCTGGCATGCACCTGAACTACACAAGTAGCAGCCCCTTCACCTCTTGTGGACTGAGTTCCTGATGTTCAGCATGATAGGTACCAGCTAACCAATAGTGCAAAGAGCTGCAAAGCATAATCTGCATTCAGTTTCCTTAAGAGAACATAATTTGGCATTCTATATGCATGTCAGGCAATTAGAGGAGGCAGCACAAGCCTGAGTGTTATAGCCCTGTTAATTTACTAATGCAGAGTCTCGCATACATCTGGCACATGTCATTTCTTTTCTCCTGGAAATCAAGGTGGTTTTCCAGGAGACTGGAGGGCAGCTCCAGCAGTTGTTTCCTGCCTGATGCTTCAAAACATTATGCCTGAAGTTCCTCATGCCAGCCTTGAGTCTGACTAACTCTAGTCTGCTGACTTAATCCCATGGTTCCAATTTTGCCTCCCAGCACAGTATTTAACTCGACTTTAACTTGATGCTTTTGGTTTAACTCCTGGCCCTAACTATCAGGTTATGCCACCCCAACCCTGATTCCTTACACCCCTTAATTCTACCTCTCGCTATAGCAGAAGTAATGGCTTTCCCTAGTCGATCAGATCAACCACATGAAAAGTCATCCTCTGCAGACTTGCCTTGCTGAAATCTTTCTCTGACCAAGACAGCTGCCCATGAAGATGTTACCTTTCAGGAAAACAAACGTTACTATTCACAGGAGATTTATGAATATTCAGTGTCATAGACTCCAATCCCTTCATTTGGCATTAATTTAGCTGTAAATCTAAGGCACATCCAATGGGCAGCAAGACCTCTACAAACTGAAACCTTAAAATCATTCTGCAAGGAAGCAACAATGGTAGCAAGCATTGCTGTTGTAAACATGAAGTAGCATACATGTTTGAGGACTTTCCTCAAGCCTACACAAAGTAAAGATGCCCCTTTATCTGGGAAAAGTAACTGTCTTGGGCAGAAGCCTCTTCACCTCCATTACTGCTAAACACCACCACCCATGTCAAAATAGCAAGGAGATTATTTTAATTTTCATGAGTCAGGTAAAGGATAAATATTGCTTCTTATGCAGAAGAGGGAGCAGGCAGAGGACTCATAGCATGGTGTGGCAACAGAAGATCCAGCTGTAGGCTGCAGTATTCAGTAACAGTTAGTCTGCAGTGATCTGACTGAGGCAAATCGAGTTGGACAAAGCCGCTGCTTTTGGTTCCCAAACAGTTTTCACAAAATTCCTGAAATTCTCATCTAATCTACTATCCAGCTAATGGAGAAGCCCATGGAATTGAAAAGGCAAGTGAAAGTTGTGCTGTGCCACAGCTATTGTCCCTTACCTTTTGCAGTCCCATGTAACCTTAGGAATGACAGCAAAGTCTTTATGGGTTTGACGAAACTAAGGCTTCCTTTAGAAGCCTGATGCATAAAACCCCAGACATTTTGTAAAATATTTTGCTAGTCCTCAATGTAAAAAACCTCTTTCCCAGTCAAAAGGAGAGCTCAAACACTATCTTGCATCTCTCTGTATATTCCCAAAGCTAA